TTATTAATAATTACTAAGAAGTTTGAATGTGGAAAATTGAATTCTTTATCTATTCTAATTTTAAATACCGACCTTTTTAACCAAAGAATGTAATTTCTTTTAGTATCTGCTTCAACATGTACCTACAGTCTTCAGTGCAGACTGTACATAGACTCTGCACAGTTATTTAGTATTCAGGTCGCTATTGCTACACTTAGCTATTATAGTGTATGAAGTCATATTGTTGTCATGTCTTTTGTTTCGATTGGTCAGGTCAGTAGCCAACCAATGGTCCCTGTTCTGAGTCATTCTTCGTATCATAGACCATAGATATAACAAAGAAGTAGTTTTTAATATTTCTGTGTTTAGTACCTTTATACCAAAAAGCAATGCATTCTGTATGTGTACTTCTTTAATTATTTACTAGCTTCATACATTATATTATGTATTTCACAACGCTGTCGCACCACAAATGCATTTTTGATGTGTACCTCCATTTTATCATTTACATGCCTCGACACGTGCGCGGCATGTTGGCAGCATTGTGGAATATTATCTGTGCTTGTTATGTTAGTACACGGTATGAAGACGGTAATCTTCTGTTTGCAAAGTCTCCACGTGTTAGGGGTCACTCTATCTTGTTTGTATATATGTGTTGAGGTCCGATGAACTGTTTAGGTACTACTAAGGTTGAAGGGGTGATAATTAGACATTTATTACCGATTTTGTTAATCTAGTCAAGATGTTAAGAACTCAAGAAAAGTAAGACAGAAGTACATCTAAAACGTTTAAGCACTAGCAAGATTTTCATCATAAACTTTGATGAATACTTTTTCAAGTATTAACACTACACAGAAAATATACAATAAGAAAACCGCGCACTACAGACGGAATCGCAAATGGAGAAATAAAGATTTATATCGGCTGCGAACCGGCAGATGTCGCCACCCTCGCCGTATCGCCTAACATTGAGCCCGGCATCAGATTCACGAGAATGTGGACTCAGCATTTCCTATCTAGTAGACCCATGATATATGCGATGAGCTTAAACTGTTTATTTTATGTCAACTTCGGCCATTTTCGGCCATCTTCGGCTTTATTTCGCGACGAATAAAATAACGAGTTCCAACTGGTTACTGTTGGTTATAGCCACTTTTATTTTGTTTTCCTTTTTCGTTATTTGTCTCTCGTAAAGACAAAACTGCATTTTATGTTTGGATTCTTTAAGGCATTGGCTGCCAATAAAAAACTATTGAAGGCAAATCCTCCGCTAACGTCGGTCACCAGTGACTGCCATGGCGTTTAACGTGTTAACCGAAGATGTATCAGTTTGATTCCCAAGACGTTCCCAACTTTTATTAGGTTCTTCAAGTTTAGGGTACCGAAGATTTCTGAGAAAAATACTGGATTCATAGTTGATTATGTAAGACACTGTTTTTGTAGGTTATATTGTGAATTCTTCTTACTTGATATCCCATGTGGATTGTGAAGTAATATAAGTTTGTGGCCAAGTTATACGTATGTAAGTACGTTGTTGGAATAAGCTACACAAATCAAGATCATTTTATGGCCCATTGTTGATAACCATACTAACTGAGAATTAGTCGAAAAATGACAGGAGATAAAGTACATTTGATACCAAACAATGCTTATGTGTTAACATAAGGCAATAGAAGCTGAATAATCATGTATAATCATAGTAGGAACACTTTAGTGTATATTCAGTCTAACCCCATACACAAAGAGTTCACCTATCAAACTACTAAATATATAAATGTACAATTTAAACTATATAATCCTAAATACATCAATGTAATTCATACGAGAATGGTTTTATTACATTTATTTGCGGCTAACCAAAACTCTGGCATAAAATTGAAATACATTTATAATATTTTCTAGTCTGTTGGAGGCACGGTTCAGCCGCTCGTTCATAGCGGATTATATTGAAATTAATGTATTTTGTATAACATAGATATAAGTCAGTACTGGTTGCAAATATAATTGCAAAAACGGTCCCTGATTTATCGTCTAAATGGAATGGTAAAAGTTTATAGATAGATTCGACAATATATTGTTGATTCCTTGTGAAAATAATGTAGTGGAGCCATTAAGGAAGTGTCGAATAATGAGCTTGTTAAGCAATAGATTAAGTTTAAGTGTGGGAGAGCCATGCTTCGGCAGGAATGGGCCGGCTCGACCGGAGTGATACCACGGCCTCACAGAAAACCGACGTGAAGCAACACTTGTGTTGTGTTTCGGCATGTGAGGGAAGTTACCGGATGCCTAATTACCCCCTCCCCAATCTCCCTAATCCCCAACAATCTTCAAATTCTTAATCCCAAAGGGCCGGTAACGCACTTGAAACAACCTCCGGTGTTTCGAGTATCTAAGGCGACGCTGATTGCTTACCATCAGGTGATCTGTCTGATCGTGCTCTGCCTTATTCGATAAAAACAAATTATAGTCAACTCAATTTTTTTTTAATGAACGTAACTACACCGACAAGGTTATCGTCTTAATACAAACAACTACTTACACGGTATCTAAAATGCAACGTCTTTTGCAACGACCCTTTCGACAACGTCATTTTAGTTTTAACGTTTCTTTCAGTTATGTTTTTGTCTTCATTGCATGTAACCTGTACACTGTGCCTAATGTCTATATTCCTTTCCCTGGCGCAGATCTGCAGGAAGAAATCCCTTAAGGGATATACACTATACAGTACCTATTTACCTTATGCTTGTAATGTGTTGTCCTCTGTAATATTGTCTGCTGTGTGATGTACATGAAATGATAAATAAATAAACTTCTAATCTAAATTCTTTTAATTCTTCTAAATTCCAGGTATAATTAACATAGGCATAAGATGACTGCCTCGATGGCCGAGTGGTCGCAAGTGCGACTACGGGGCAAGGGGTCTCGGGTTCGATTCCCGGGTCGGGCAAAGTATTACTGCGTTTTTTTTTAATCTCAGTAGTAGCACGGAGTCTGGAAATGTGCTCGGTATATGGCAATAGGTTTACCCCCTAGTAAAAAGTGGGTGTTACTTCTATGTGCACCTCTGCCTACCCCTTTGGGGATAAAAGGCGTGATGCTATGTTATGCTATAAGATCAATTTACTTGCATAACACTCCCAACTTCAATCCAAACCCATTACATAAATCCCATCCCTTGAAAGTTGAACTTACAATTTCTAAACGTAACTCCTCCACAATAGTCCTCCTATAATTCCTCGTAAAAGCTCGTTAATTGATATTTTCATGGGAACAACATTCACGTAACTGGAATTACGTAAGAGCCTATTATCGGCCAGCCGTCTGTAACTGCCGCCATTAGGCACCCGTAATACATGAGTTATGGGCAAAATTTAACATTTATGGTTTCTTAAGAGGGAACTTATGTCTGACATTTGTCTATGTGTCAGCAGACGACATCTTGTTTTGGTTTGGCCATAGATTATAGTTATTTTGATATCAACAGCCATTAATTCAAGGTAATGTCGTAAGTATCTGTGATGTTTTCAATGAAATTCGTACCATAATTCCTGATGATACAGCCTAATTTTGAATCATCGTACAACGCTATGAAATAAGCCAAGTTTACACGAGTACATCACTTCTGTCGACTGTACGTAAAATGATATAATGCTGTAATATTTTAAGCCTTTTATTAATTCTACCTTTTAGCGCGAATTGCTCAGTTTGTGTGCTGGAAATAATTTTGAAATTACAACGAAATATTATTTTAAAAGAGGTTTCATTTCAAGCTCTAGTCTTAATTACCAAGTCAATTTAAATTAAAAATAAACTGAAAACATAAATGATTTTAATTTTTTTTACGAGCTGACGGATCACCTGATGGTAAGCAATCGGCGTCGCCCATGGACACCCGAAACACCAGAGGCGTTACAAGTGCGTTACCGGCCTTTTGGGGATGTTGGGGATTCGGGGATTTGGGAGATTGGGGAAGGGGAGGGTAATTGGGCCTCCGGTAAACTCACTCACACGACGAATCACAACGCAAGCGTTGCTTCACGTCGGTTTTCTGTGAGGCCGTGGTATCATTCTTATGTAAACATATATATTTCGTAATTATGAAATATGTAGGTATGTTAATTGTATTTATTATATTATGCCTTTTGAAGGTCATAAAAAAGGTATGTTTAGATATTATATGCAACATAGACAAATTTCAAAAGTTAATCATTTTTTTTATAATCTATCTGAGCTCTCTGTATCAAAAGTTTATTTACGTACTTAATCTCAATCTTGATTAGTCTGCCGACTTCTGAAAAATAACTTTAGTCAGAACTTCTTCTTGTTTTGGAATTTAATACCATTCCATCGATTGAATGATATCTCTAAACTAATTACTTACTCGCAGGAGTATTTCTTTATGTAATGCAATGTTTAAAGTACATGTTCTTTAAAGAGACGTCATTGAGAGTATTTTAAAGATAAGCTAAGCTTAGACCTTTGGTATCTTTAAATATATTTTGACGTACCTATTTCAATGTTATTTTCTCCAAACTTGAATAGAATAGGTAGCCTCGTAGGCTGAGTGGTCGCAAGTGCGGTTCGATTCCCGGGTCGGGCAAAGTACTACTAGGTTTTAAAAAAAATCTCAGTAGTAGCACGGAGTCTGGAATTGTGCCCGGTATATGGCAATAGGCTCATCCCCTATCTCCCACCATCTCTCCCTGTTTGTTGATGCCTGGCTGACGGTGAGTCTCCTGTTGCTGAGTTGACTTGATCAGTCCAGCACATAGGTGATCTACCTCGTGATCTGGTTCCCTCTACTTTCCCCTGAACGACCAGCCGCTCTATGGAGTTGTTATTACGACGGGAGACATGGCCAAAGTACTGCAGTCTGAGCGTCTGTACTATGGTTGATAGACGCTTTGTGATGCGATGCGATGATGAAACCTCTTACTTGTTATATTATTATTGTGTTAATAATGCCTATTAATTTAAAGAAGTGTGAAGTATGTTTCTTCAAAAGGACTCTTTGTTTCCAGTTGCAGCTACGACTACCTAGAAATCACGGAGGAGGGTGTGGACAACAGCAGTGACCACGCGCAGGAGTGGCAGTTACATGATCATCACGAAGCATTCAGCTCTGATACTGAGGTGAGGACTTTTTAGGGAATAGGAGGCAGACAGATCATTTGATGGTAAGCAATCATCGCCGCCTATAGATATTTCCATTTCGCATCAGAATAATTAATCATATCAAAATACATCGTTGGCGTTGGAGAGAGGACATGGTTATAAGAAACCAACAAAAATATTTATTTATATATTTATTAAATGGTGAATCAACAGCTATTTTATATTACACAGATTTAGCAGTTGTTTTTTATATAGCAGATTTAGAAAAATATATTTTTTCAATCCATTTAGCAACGTACATTGGAAATTGCGCTCGGATTGCCTTAACAATCCTCTTTTAAAGTACCTAAATGAAACTATTGAGCACCAATGTGTTCATACTGAAAATCTCACTTAATGTATTTTTTAACAGATATGGGAAGAAACAGAGACTCAGCTGCCAGAATCGGATGCAATCAGCGCAGGTTGGATGAGGGATGCGCACGCGACTCGCGCACGACGTCTGTGCGGTGATTGGAGCGGGAAGCTCAAATTACTGCGCTACCAATCACGGGGAAACGTGCTGCGCCTGCGCTTCAGATCCGACCACTCACGACACTACGCTGGGTTCCGAGCTAAAGTCACCGTCACTGATTGTGAGTATCTATACTTACTATGAATTGTTTATATGTTTTGTAGTTAATGAGCTGTAGATAAGAGCCTATCTAGGTAATAACGTTAATTCATTGCAAAATGAGGGAGATCAAAACAAAGAACGGACCCAAAATAAAATATAGTCCAACTGTTACCCAAAATTGGGAGTCTCTGGACTATTATTATGAAATATACTGCTTATTAAATTCCCGTAACAAGAGAAATGACCAAAGTTACCAACTTGCTACAAAACGGCAATTTATTAAAATTAAACACGAAGCTTGTCGCACCGGCATTGTTCGGTATGCAGCGCCATCTAGCTTGCACAACTTTTTAAATATCAAACTTTAGTATACGGTAGAAAACTTGAAATTAGCGCCTTAACAAATAGACTGGAGGCACCCAGTCCAGTGAAACTTCTTTTAAATCTAATTATCATACTCCAATCTGCAGAGATCTGAAGAATATTCCATCAGAACTTTAGGAACACGGTCGCAAGTCCAGCTTCGAGTAAAAAACAAAATGTCGACGTATTTCGTTTTTCAATTTCAACTTTTCGCTCTGTTCCGTACGGACAACGGAACGGAACGAACCGTCCATACGACAAATAAAGTTACCAACTAACACGTATTGAGCCACCCTAACCACCTTTAACGCATTCGTATAAAGTTTAAATTTGTCTGACACGAACAACAATGGTTACAAAGTTAGTGATGCAGTTAAATTAAACTTATTAGCCAGTGCATAAAGTCTATTATTGAATGGGTGGGTGGTGGTGTAAGTTTGTGGAGTAGAATGGGGTAAGTTGAATAAAGCACAGTCTAGTTTTAATTAACCACGGCTATGTAAGATGGCGTTCAGTTGTGTTCTGATGTTTTTGTTCTGTTCCGCTAGTTTCCCAAGGGGATCGATGTTGTATAGTCGCGTGCGCCTCGCTCTAGGTCGCCAGCAACTTGTTGTTTCTTCGTGACACGTACTGGCACAAGCAATTTAACTACTTGGACATTTGCCAACTTTATCTTAAACTGTTAAGAAATAATTACACTATTTACAATACAGAATACTTTTGTACCTTCTGAACCATTAGCTTTTTTATTAAAGAACTATGAATAGTAGTAGTACTAGTATTTCATGCGTATATTCTTCAAAAACTGTATGTACATCACATCTCGATTTTATGTAATCTCAATTTTATTTTCATCTCGTTTTAAATTTGTTGAAAATATCAAATTTACCTTACGATAAATAGTTTGTCAGAAAATATACAGCACACTAAAAATACTTATACTTGAGTTCAGAGTAAGTGCACGAGACTCATAAATATTGTATTTTGCAATTTCCATACTTAATATAGAAAACTTGACATGCTACTATGGATTGGAATACATGCCAAAATCTAGGATTTCAGCCAAGCCAAGCTTTGTATTCTATAATTTTCTTTCAAAAATTTTCACTCACTTATTGTGCCTAAAACCATTTTATGAGAGCAGTTAATCCTCCAAATCCATTTCAGATACAGCCATAGGCCACAGTATATTATATATTTGTAAATCCCAGCAAAATAACTCCAAGCATTAAACAACAATATTAAACTGTACGCGCTCCATTACTTGTTAGATATAACCAAACATGCAATTGTACCGACACCACTGTTCAATGTACGCGGCGCACTATGTTTTGACAAATTATGTGGGCTTAATCAGCGGTCGCGGACCACGTAATAAGCTCGAAGCCAAAATCCTGTACTATAATGGTATTAGCTGCAGGCAAAGCCGCATAATATCAACTGAGATTATATTCGACATAAAGTCAGCTCCACGCTACATTTGATTAGGTGTGCCGTCGAACTTATCATCATTTATGCCTAAAGACGTTCGCTATAAACAATTTCTTTTTTAGAATAAATTTCATAATGAATCGTTAATCGAATTTATTAATGAGAGAGAAGAGAGCAGATTACTTTATAATTAATCACCTAAATCTAAATTTATCTCAATGAAATCACGGGAATAAATTATACATTTATCACTTCTGTGAATATTATGTAATTTTCTTCACTTCTACTTCTTACTGACAAAAGGTCAGCAAACATTTAAAATTTCCACGACCTCTACGACACAATGAAAGGTGACATTGCCAACGTTAAGCTCGAAATGTCGTTACATTTTTCCAAAATAAACCTTATTCAGTGGCACAAAGCCTTCGATTTAGTATAACAACATGTCGAGCTGGTGAGCAAATTGCTTCCTCTGACAATGCGTAAATTGACGTCACTGCGCACCGCGGTGAAACATATTGAAGCGTGGTGAAACATGTCGTTAGGTATAAAGCTTGGTGCACGCTGGCACTGGGCCCTGAGACATGTTTCGCTTGGGACAAACACTTGTATATCTTGTATCAACACTGTATATGGGCCTTATGCAAGACTTTTTTGTACTTAGATTAGGAATCAGTCTTAGATTAGGATACAGTCCCGGTCGAGAATTCGGAAAGGTTTTGTAATACTTCCAACTCTGGACAGCAAGAACCTTTAGTTAAACATCTGTTAGTCTTACTTAGCCGCATTCATAAAAATGATATTAGTTGGCTCATAATAAGTCATAGAAATATAATACTAGCTTCTGCCAGCAGCTTCGGCCGCATTCCCGTGGGATAAAATTAGCCTATGTGTTATTCCCACACACACACACACACACACCACACACACACACACACACATTACAAACTTTCGCATTAATAATATTATAAGAAAAATAATAACTTCGGACCAGTGTAATGATAAAAATAAGCTTTTTCGACTTAATTGCCACGCAGAACTACCAGTTCCAGACGAATCAATAAACCTTAAAATACCTCGCTGCAATTTAAAAGTCCATCGTCCATCTTATTCTGCACAAAATGAACTAAATTCATAACATTTCCTGAACTTTTGAATAACGATGCTGGTATTCCATTCGTTCGCGAACGAGTGAATGGATGAATGAAACTAGTTAACGAGGAGCATTTTTGTCGAGGCTTTTTTTTCTGAGAGCTGAACTGTTCATCATAATTTGATGTAACGAGCACCTTTGACACGATATGAAGGTAGAAGCATACGTACTTATGTAGAACATAAGAGGGAGCTGCATTAAAATAGTCTTTGTGAAAGTTGAAACGCGTATTATTGCATTTTGCTTTTTTTTAATGAAAGGAAATTCATCCAATGACTTCTTCCACCTTGGGTGAGGCGAGAGGGAATGTCAGACTTATACTAATTAAAAATCGTTCCGTTTCTCATCCTCCTCCTGCTTTTTGAGCCGGAGACCCGTTAAATCTCCGTATCGGTTATCAGCTCTACTGGGCCCCATCAATGGTGGTCTGATGTTTCGTTGAGTGCACGGAACTGCATTTTGCTTGCGACGATCTTTTAAAACATTTTTTATTCAAATAGGTACCTATGCGTATCACATTCAGCTTTAATGAAGCTTATGTTCTGAATATTTAATGTCACTTCAGTGTTGTAATGTCATCGGTAAATTTTGGTCACAAACTATGTAAGTAGTGGGTAATTATAGCAATCCCATTGTCCCAATAAATAATTAGCTAATGAACCCTGAATAATTGCCAAAATTTCGGACAGACGGACCACCTGGTGATAACGTTACCGGCCTTTTGAGGATTACCTATAGAAATTTGAAGATTGTTAGATATTCAGGGAATGAAAAGATTGGGGAGTGGGGGAGGAGAGTGTTATTGAGCCTCCGATAACCTCTCTCACACGACGAAACCCAGCGCAAGTGTTGTGTCACGTCGGCTTTCTGTGAGGCCGTGATATCACTCCGGTCGAGCCCCGGCATTCGTGCCGAAAAATGGCTCTCTCACGATTAAAAAAATTAACACTTAATCTCATTTAAATGATATTATACCAAACAAAACAGACTATAAGTCAAGTATTTATACCTAAATGTATTACGTACTTTAATTCCCCACAAATTATAATTTTAACTTTGAAAGAGTTTTGTGAATAGTGTAATTGAAATACTGTTTTTGTTTTGAAATAAAACTTGGAATGGTACAAACTTTAATTAAATCTGAAGAATGGTAATCAAACTCTTGTTAAGTAACAGTACAATATTTATTTTGGACGACGATCCATCATTCCTGGAAACGACACTCCTACAAACTTCAGCACATCACTCCATTTTTACCTCTCCTCAGTACATTTTCGACTTTATTACAAACGAACACAATACAAAATTCATTGGAATCCTTAGAAGTAAATAAGGCTCGTACTTATACAGACACCAGCACATCTACCTACACTCGAAATACAATAGATTTACGACTTAAAAACAAGGTACAATACAGATGAAAATGTAATAAAGAAACTTGATAGATTGGAGTAGGGCGACTTGCTGGCGACGAAAGTGGCAATAAGAAAATTAATCAGCGGTGTTTCACCACAAATTCTCAATTAAATATTCAGATATCAGGAAACTTTAACATAACAAAGCTGTCCCGAGATACTCCCATTTTACCGCACATTAAATATTTAAAGGAGCGTCGCAATGAAAACTTAAAATTGTATGGCAATAGCAGGTCATCAAACGTTGATTCACAACAAAAATGTTTCAAGTTTCAACATTAAGTTTCATCTATTTGAAAACTCAATCGAATCTAGCAAGATCTTAAAACTTAAATAAGTATAAGTACTTACTATTTGGAATATTTGGGCACAATTTTAGACGCATGTGTCATGTGTGGGAGAGCCATGCTTCGGCACGAATGGGCCGGCTTGACCGGAGTGATACCACGGCCGAGCAGAAAACCGACACGTGAAGCAACGCTTGCGTTGTGTTTCGTGTGAGTGAGGTTACTGGCGGTAGTTGGGAGGCCCAACTACCCTCCCCTTCTCCAATCTCCCCAATCCCTGAATCCTCCTTGCCGGATTACCGCCGTGGGATCTGGAGGCGAAGGTGCTCGCGCGCGTGTACAGCATGCGCGCGGAGGCACGTCGCCGGGGCGAAACCCCGCTGCCGCGCCAGATAGGCGCGTGGCGGGATGAGCTCCGGCGCGATCTCATGGCGGAATGGCAGCAACGACTGTCGCAACCGAGGGCTGGGCTCGCTGCCATCGCAGCGGTAAGTCCCCTCTTTGAGGAGTGGCTTGAGAGACGCTACGGCGTCCTCACCTACCGCCTGACGCAGGTCCTCACCGGACATGGAAGTTTCGGGAGGTACCTGTGTCTGATGGGGCGGGAGGAAACGCCCGGGTGTCATCACTGCGAGGACCGCCCTGAGGACACGGTGGAACACACGGTGGGAGAATGCCCTTCGTGGGCTGAGCACCGCCGTGTCCTCAGGGAAGTGATCGGCGATGGCGACCTCTCGCGTCCGGGCCTAGTGCAGGCCATGATGCGGAGCGAGGGGGATTGGGATGCCGTCTCCTCCTTTTGCGAAGCAGTCATGCTAGCTAAGGAGGAGGCGGGACGCGTGAGGCAGCGAAGCGCTGCCTCCTCGCAACCCAGCCATCGCGAAGGACACACCGGGCGTCGGGGATCGCGGGACGATCTCCGGCCACCGTAAGCGCGGGCCTGCGGACGGCGAGCATGGGTGGCTCCCCGTCCGACCAGAAACAGACCCGAGCGTACGGCGCGTCGCGTTCCGCGCGCGCCTCAAAGAGCCATCAGACCACCACAGATGGGGCCCAATAGGGCCGATGCCGATTCGGAGTCGCGGAGAACCTAACGGGTAACCGGGGCTCCGGCTCGACGTGCAGGAGAAGGAACGGGGTGGTTTTTAGTCAGTAAGAGTCTGACACTCCCTCCCGCCTCACCCAGACGGGAGCAGTCATTCGATGATTTTCCCCCCTTAAAAAAAAAAAAAAAAATCCCTGAATCCTCAACGATCCTCAAACTCCTAATCCCCAAAAAGCCGGCTCACTTGTAACGCCTCTGGTGTTCCAGATGTCCATAGGCGACGCCGATTGCTTACCATCAGGTGATCCGTCTGCTCGTTTACCGGCTTATGCTATAAAAAAACGCATTTAACCTCAGTGATAGCTAATTAACTAATGGCTGATTTTTCTAACGCAACGCACCAAAGAATAAAATAATAGAATTTTCATTTATCAGATTTAAATATGGAAGAATTGACAAATATTCAAATCATACCAACAAAACAATAATTTACTGTCAAATGTCTCGGCAAAACTGCTGACTCGCAACTAAGATTTATTCCAATTTATTAAAATTGAAATACACTGTCAATATTGAAATATCGCTAGCTAGATAAGTTAGTTCCTTTCAGAAATATTAGATTGCAGACCTCGAAAACAAACAAATTCATAAGTCGCCAGGCAATGACCGGTAAAGTCTGACAAGAAAGATTAACGTCCAGACTAAAGAAATTAAATTATGGAGAAATCTCGAATAAGTATATTATGCTTATTAACTTAACTCGTCGAGTACCGTCATTATAGACACAATTATAGAACAATAGGTTTCGGTCACCGGTGACCGCTTGGTGTTTGACAGTTTAATTTCACTAACTTGTACTGTAGTGTTAAAAGGTCCATACAGGGAGCCCCAGAAGTCAGCGTGCATAAGACACCAGACGCCTTAGACGAGTTTGTTTTACGTTTAAAGTAATCGTACCGAGTACGCGTTCGGCGCTGTGATTGGCCGGCTACAATGAACCAACCAATCAGAGCGCCGGACGAAGTTTCGTTTCGATTACTTTAAACGTAAAACAAATTTGTACTAAGGCCTCTGGTGACAATTTCGCCACTATTTTAACTCCAGTTGCTACAAATCTTAATGTTTTCATCAGTTTTTTAGTAAGAGAACCTTAAATATGAGCCAACTGCTCCAATTTGGAATAGGATGTACGATGGGAGTTAGACTTCTGTCGGCACCTCCGCAATGTACACTTTATTAAAATTTGTCGTCGATGACGTGTCGTGTTGTCGCCCCGATACGATACAGGTATACAGCCTCTGTGACCACTTCACATTCAGTAAATGAATATCTCTGAACGGTTTTATTGTCGCGTAGTGAAAGAAAGAATTGCGCGCGCATGTTTTAATTAAAAACACTCAGAGTACTAATTAAGTCTCGACAGTTTATACTAGCTCTTGTTCGTTTTTCGTTACGAGATAAAATGCCATCGTTTCACGATACACTTGAAAATAAATATTTAATGAACGTATTTTTCTTCGCAAAGAAAAGTTTTTAAAGAACTGCTTGTTCGTTTTGTTGGAAAGTCTCGCGAAAATACAAACTCAGCGCGCTTTACACAACCACAGCTTGAACGTGTGTTGTATTTTGATAGTTTTACTATTCTTGTATTCTGCAAAAACAAATAAGAACCGTCGTCATCATCATCATCAGCTTATAAATGCCCACTGCTGAGCAAAGCCTCTTCTAACATGGAGAAGGTTAGAGCATTAATCACCACGCTTGCTCAATGCGGGTTGGCGCATTGAGCAAGCGCGTTGGAAATTATAAGCCCAGGTTTCCTCACGATGTTTTCCTTCACCGTTGGTCAGTGGTGTCTAAATAATCTTAGAAAGTACATATAACTCGGAAAAAGTCACATTGTACTTCCCGTTGGTAGGTTTCGAACCTGCTCCCTCGTGCATGAGAAGCAGGCGTCTTCAACCTCCGGGCCACCACGACATAGTAGAACCGTCGCATACCCAAGAAATCTTTCTTTTCCTCGTATTTTTGGCAACTACTAGTCATAAAGTTATTCCTTGCGAATGTTCGCCCCTGTCCCACATTTCACGGCTACAAATGCCCCAAAAATGTGGCACATTACACCTGCCAACAAGATTACTCGGTCCATTGCGCGCCAACCGGCGGCGGCGAGCTCCGATCACTAAACTTATAAATATTTCATGTCCTCCTGGTACCGGCTCGTCACGAAAACATCCCAGTAATGTTGTCATTCTCCGTGTCACTTACCTTATATTGCATTATTAGAGGGTTTCTACAAATTACGGGAACAAAGCCACTACTTAGGAAATAATGAAGCTGTTGCAAAATGAGCATTGAATTGCAAAATTAATCTCAGCAGCCTAAACAAAGCGAGTGCCAGCATTATTTATTTATTTTCATAAATGTACGAACAATGGAAACAAAAGAAAACACACAGCGGTAATGAATTTATTAAATTCAGAGTGAAAAGTTTCTTGCGAAAATGAGTAGCCTGTGGTAGCGTTTTTATTACACCTATTACTTAACGCGGTTAAGTCACATGTTTCAAAATTAAATGAATGTTTAATTTGTTCCACAGCGCAATCTTGTATGGACTCGAAGCAAGTTCTGTTCAATGGGCACTGCTACCTGTTCTCCGGTTACCCGAAAGCATCCTGGGCGACTTCAAAACAGGTAAGTTGGAATAATAACACATATAACAAAAATAACACAGTTCCCTTTTTTTAGCTGGAAAAATCATCGAATGACTGCCCCCGTCTGGGTAAGATCCCCTTAGAATAAAGTCTCATTCACAACTGCTCTTATTTATGTTAAAGGTTAGGTACCTACCTAAATGCCAATATCTTCGATAAAGCTATCGATAGCCATCGCTACAAATTACGGTATTCTTGTAACGAAAGGCAATTACCAGTCCAAACAATGCTGGACGCAAAGCCTACTGGACCATTCTCGTGTAATCCCCAATGATTTATTATCTTAATCCGACGACCTTCAGGCGATACTACTGCGTTGTAAAGAGACCTCTCTGTCTCTCTGTATGTATAAAAATGGAAAATAACTTGGTTGTGTTATAAAAGGGTCCGTAATTAAATAAGGTTGCATGTCTAATATAGTTGAAGTTCCCTAGATTTTCCTTCAGTAGATCCGCGAAGTATTTTTGAAGTAAAAATATTCTATATAGGTAGGTACCACGACTTAAAATACGTAGTCCCAACTGTCAGCTTAAATTTCGTTAGGTCAAGTTTCAAGTTTTTTCTTGATTATTACTGTTTTCAAATATTGGATGGTGCTTCCTTCAATCAACAAGAACCACCTTGCTTGATTGTTCAAACATTCACTGGCCATAACTGTTCACTAGTTTCCCCCGAGATTGATTACATTTTATAAGTAATCAGTAAAACAAAGTTTGTTCGTTTGTTCCATTTCTGTACCTTGTTAAATTATAATTTTCTTCGAAATAATTGTAGGGTAGTTGTAATCTTCTGTTCGACCTCGGCGCTTACAACGTCATTACGTTTTGTATTACGACGGCTCTTGGTATTTATACCTCTTCTGTTGTTGTTGAAGGCCCTAAATATTATAGTATTGTGTTTAATTATTTTTAAGCTATGTAGAACAAAAATTCAATTGTTCAAAATTTATTTCGTCATTCTATAATAGAAATTTTTATTGTACACCTTAAATCAATAGAATATACATAAATAAAATCAATACTAACTATTACTAAAAGAAAATATATACAACTTAAAATATGAATAACTATGAACTAAAATATTTACACCTTAAAAAATAATAATAAAAATTATATCATAAGGCATAAAAAAAATGTTCCTCATCGCTACCGTGAGGTAGGGTGCCCAAAAGACTGGCAGCATTGCCACATTGAATGGCAATACTTAACCCGTGTCCTATAGTAGCCAGCCCTTCGATCACCTGAAGTGTCAACTATAATTATGTACTATATTGATTGATAAAAAGTAATTAATTCTCAAAGATAATTTTATTACCCGACTTCAACAAGAAAAAAAGGAAGTTCTCAATGTAACCTGTATGTATCTTTGTGTGCGATTAACTCGCCATTGTCTGAACCGATTTTGATACGATTTTCACAAAACTGATTGTTACACTTAGAAGAAGGTGTCAGTTTTTTAAAGGTAATTTTCTAGGGATATTTACAATACTGCATAAGGTTTTAAAATCTTCTCAGTACCAACTCTTTATTTTATTTTTATTTTATTTTATTTATTTAGAAAACCAACAGCGATACATATGATATAATACAAAATAAAGATATTACAGTTTAGTAAGGCTAATAATAGGTTTCCCTGCTTAACTTAATTTGTATTTACCATGCGAACGGACTTTAAACAATATTTAAAATTAATTTTTTATTTTTAATTGAAAGTTAAATATACTACTTGTTATGAAAGGGAGATAATAATATTAACCCAATTAAAATATGAATTAACATAGTAAATGCTCCATGGTAAATGCTTTATGGTGAATGGAACAAAGTTGCCCGCTACTTGCCTTTATCAATTATAATATTTTTAACTTGGGCTTTAAAGCTAGCTCTTTAACACAAAAATATGATCCGATCTTACAACTAAAGACTAACTTTTTGTTTGTCCAAGGTATGTGAGGGCCTGAACATGCATCTATCATCAGTCCATTCAGCAGACGAAGAACGGTTCATAGTCTCAGGCATCCGACAAAGCAGCGATTACAGCGCTGGTTCTATTTACTGGCTGGGAGCCCGTCTAGACGGTGAAGAGGATGGAACTTTGAGCTGGATTGATGGAAGCGCTGTAGGGTTCCAGGGCTGGCCACCTTATAATGACACCGAAGAAATAGAGGATGCGTGTTTGGGTATTCAGGTGAGTTACTTTGTAAAACTGCACTTTCCACCAGTTATTATATGAGAGGGTGGCTATTGCCGATTATATTTCCAGGCTGGACATTGCTGTTGTTAATGATAACCTAAAAAAATCCCTTTGTTTCGGACGTGTTAATTCTTTTGATGACATTGAGACTCCCACTTGCAATAGTCGACTAATGAGAGAAGATATGATATCTAAAAATCTCTCTGCCATATGACATTAAGTCCGCCTTATGTGCCTTATTTTGTGTGCATTAAAGTGTAAATAAAAAAATAAATAAAAAAGAAGAATTAATCAAATACCCAGATAGGCTCATCCATAAAAATTACACAACGAACGATTTTTTTTTCAGTGGAAGTCCTCACCAATCCCGTCTCTACCTAGTGGCTTGTTTTGGACCTTACACAAGTGTGGGATGACAGGCGGGTACGTGTGCAAGCGACGTCTCAACCCAGAGCACGTAGTCAAGAACAGAACAGTTGAAGGAACTTCTGGTACGTACAACTCTCATTATAATAAAATGTGACATTTTATTCAAATATAAAACCTGCCATGGATGATAATATATAATAATAATACGTTTCGTAAAAGTTTAGTCCCACGCTGGGCGCCATTATATTTAGTTGGCGTCCACCGTGGGACTAGTATTAACATGAAATGTTTGATTTGTTTTAGGAGTGCTAACAAGTCCCAATCATCCTGGCATGTACGACAACGACCTTGACTTCTGGGTACACGTGGTAGGCCCTGAGGACACGCGCCTAGTTTTTGTTTTTCAGAGAATCGATTTGGAATATCAAAAAGACTGCCTTTACGATTTTGTTGAGGTGAGCCCTTTATTATTGTGCTCTAACTGGTCTTGTGTTTCTTTTTTACAATAGATTCCTTATCAGCATAGAAATGAAAACCACATTCAGAAACATTGTATCTCGAATGTAATATGTATTCAAATCGCTAAGTTACCGAAACGCGCCTTAAATGCCATAAAATATTTATGAAATTTAAAAATTCAGAATAAAGGTAAAATATCCAATAAAAATTCCATCAGGAACAGCTATTGCGTCTTCGGCCGTAAGCTGTGTAGCGTTTGGGGAAATTAATAATTCCCGAAACATCGCACAAATTATAATTTAATTTTAATGCCGGCTGATTGTTCGCGTCGAAGCTTTGCCGGAAACAAGAAACGATCGTATTTATTATGAATTCAAATCTAAATAGTGTTTTTGTTACATTTTTGGAAATCACTAAATATTTTTGTTTTATTTTTGTGGGTGTAGGAAAATATGTACTTTGTTATTCTGTGCACCTGCGTAATCTATCAATATTAACATACCAAACCAATCTTTGATCCACAATAAAGATATTAATTAAAAATTAATTTAAAACTAGCTGACCCAGCAAACTTCGTTGCGCATAAAATGTCGTTTCTCAGCTTTTAAACCTTCCCTCGACTTCCACGAACATTTCAAGACAAAAATAGCCAAATCGGTTTAGCAGTTTTCAAGTTTTCGCGAGACTAACAAACAGAAATTCATTTTTATTTATATCGATAGATAAGTCAATTGAGAAATCTTTAATTAATCAAACTTAACTCATGCCATTTCAATCTTTTACGCGCTCAGCTACGCGACCCATGGAGTATGAAATCTTCAAGATACTGTGGCTCCGTCGGCGAAGCACGTTGGGTCGCCTCCACCAACAGGGCGGTGCTGTACTTCCATTCTGATTACAAGTGAGTCAATTGTTTTACACAGTATTATCAAGTAAAATAGTAAATACAATATTTACGCCATGACAGTTGATAACGGAATTCTTGAATTCGAAAGTGATTAAACAGCTTTCTTTAAACTGTTCTTTATATAAAACAAAAACGTTGAAACGGTTTTATTATTCCCATTATCATCGAAATTTTCAATAAAACAACTTAGATTGGAAAAATATATTATTTAATTTAAAATATTAATTGTACCCACAGCACCCAAGGTTCAGGGTTCTCAGTGACATGGCGAGCGGTGGAGCTGGTCGGTTGCCCATCACAGACTATCACATCTAAAGAAGGAGTCCTAAAAAGTCCTAACTACCCTCACTTTCTACTGCCCAACCTGGATTGTACCATCAATATTCTGGCTCCTACAGGTCTGTACCTTTACCTACTATCTTTACCTGAAGGTGCCTTATGCCTGAATTATTTTCTATACTTTTACGGTTCAAAAGCATCAGAGCAATCAAATGCGTTCTGTAGTCTTCAAAGTTACTAATAGAAAATGATATGTCTGTAAATGTAATTTTCGTCCATCGAATTTTATGGGGTCATGTGATGGAAAAAGGTTTAATTTTCTTTTTAGATTAATAAGAATTTAATTCATAAAGAACAATTATAAATAAATCATCTTTCATTCCAGGCAAACGAGTCTTCCTGAACATTAGTTTCTTCGACTTTGGTTACGGAGTGTTTGCAAAGGGCGTCCCTATCAACGTCACGGACTCGATACCTGAGGACTCCTTCATTGATGTCCAGATTGACCCTCAGAACCCTCCCATCAGGCCGTTCCTAAACCCCAACATCCTGACCAATGGCCTCTTTGTGTCTCAATCCGAAATACTCCGACTGAGGATCAAAACTGGAGAGAATGTCACGGGACAAGGGTTTTTGGCGTATTATAAAACGAGTGAGTACCTAGTTATATGATGAAAACATAAACAGAACTAGTAGTCTGTCTGCATCTTTCAGTGTGATTAAAATTTTAAAAAGAGATAAAGTGTAGCCATGAGAATTCATCACTTAGTGAAATTGATAAAATTTTCAATCTAATCACATTTTTATAGACGCAGTAACTTTCCGTGATGTTGACACTTTCAAGGTACTTGTCAGAATTTCACTTCTTAACTTTTACGTTATATAATTTTCAGTAAGCTACCTGAACGCGTCGCACGTGTTGGAAGTAGCGTCCGGCGTGGGCGGTCGCCTGTCTGCGCCCAACTGGCCGCAGCTGGCGCCGGCGCGCGCCGCACTGCGCACGCGCCTCGTGGCGCCACACCAACACACACTCACACTGGCCTTCACGGCCACAACACTCGTCGCTACTGGAGACGATCCCTGGCCATGCGGCCTGGGGAGCGGGTGGATACAGGTACGATATTTGTGCATAGAATAATTATGACAGATTATGACAGAGTGTTGGTGACGATGTATCTACATCTACATCGCATACTCACAGCATCTGCTGATAGTAGTGGTGATGTTGATGTTAGTATTGATGACGGTAATGATTGTGGTCTTGGTGATGGTAATGATAGTCATGATTTTGATGATCGTGATGTTGATAGTGACTGTAATAGTCATGATGTTGATGATTATGAATTTTAAGACGTTGATGATACACCGTAACTCTTTCCAAACCAATTTGGCACTTTAGTTAACTACTCATTGATAATAATTCCAGGTGAAAGACAGCTACACAGACAACAACGGAACGGAATGGACTCTGTGCGAGGTAGACAGGAGTAAGAGGAAGCTGGAGCCGCGCGCGCCGCTCGTCATCAACTCGTACTTACACTCACTCAGTGTCACTCAACACGCGGGGGACAGGGGCGTCAATATGGATGTCTCGCTCATGGTGAACAAAGGTAAGTCAATAAGTAATATATCAAAAAGAAATAGGTAATTAAAAATATCCTCTCAAAAAGGATCTGAGGCCCTAGTATGGGTTTGTTGTACGTTTAAAGCATTCGAAACGAGTACGCGTTCGGCACTCTGATTGGCCGGCGCCAATGAAGCAACCAATCAGAGCGAATGCATACTCGTTACAATTACTTTAAACGTAAAACAAACTCGTACTAAGGTCTTGCTCTTACTATAATTAAGTAAAAATACTGTTTTTATGGAGAAACAATTTGTTTGAATAAGATCTATTAACTACGATTTATTTGATGTGATTCGCAAGAATGACCCTTATCTATCTGTGATTAAGAAGACTCTTCTTTTTCTTACATTGTTATCTTTGTGTCTAATGTTATTTCTTCTATTTATTTCAGATCCAGAGTACCACAGCAAAGTGCTACTAATATCTGAGGAGACTAGCTTAGAGTCCTGTTACCCAAACCCATGTCTACACGATGGAAGATGTGCCACTGATGATGGAAGAAGTTACTGCCAGTGTTCAGGATATTATGCTGGTAAGACAATAAGACACGGAGTTAGAAAATTATAATAATTCGTACAGAGACTCTTTCGTAATATTTCTGTAGTATGGTTCGTGATGGAGTTCTATCTAAAACAATCATTAGTACCACAGGAACTGTCAAAAGTCTAAAGTTAGTTTTAATAGAGCATTATTTGAATGTTTGTGCAGGTTTGTTCTGCTTGGTGACGGCGTGCGAGCGGTCGCCGTGTCTGTACGGGAACTGTACGCTCGTGGCGGAGGGCGCGGGGGGCGCGGGGGGCGCGGGTGCCGGTGGCGAGGGGTTTGTGTGCGCATGCGCGCGAGGGTGGCGCGGGCGGCGCTGTGCGGAGCGCGTGCGGCCGTGCGCGTCCAAGCCGTGCAACAACCGCGGCGCCTGCACCGAGCGGGACGGAGGGTTCCTCTGTCAGTGCAACCCGTCATGGAAGGGCAAGAGGTATACTTGTAGTCAACTTACTAAATACGCTATATAGACTTTGGCCATATGGCGTAGTTATACATATAGTTAGCAGTAGATCAACGATAAAAGTAAAATTCTCCAGGCGATCGGAAGCGTGAACCAAGAGAAGACACTCGTTTTGGTACAAAATTAATTGCCTGTGGCATTTATTTATGTAAGTCACTTCCTCTCAATCGATAACTGATATACTTAGTGCTTTCAATTGCCCCAATAATTGACATGATCTTTGTAAATGATAAAATAAATCAACTGGCAGTATGGTAAAGTAAACCAACCTTGATATAGCCAACTGACGTTATGATTAATTAACATTAATTTTTAGTCGAAAGGAAATAACAGAAAAAATATTTTTTACAAGTTCAAGTGACCAGCTGACCAACTGACTTAAAATCCACCACTGACACTTTACTTTCTACAAAATATTATAATCTATTAACTATAAATTATACAACCTTCCAATTGGAAAGAAATTACAATTATGTCATGTTTGGGTGGCTGCCACTGGTCAACCCATGATCAGCACCGTAGCTGACGTTCAGACTACTTCACTATACTACTCTCTCAAACATTTAACAAGTTTTCAACTGAGAGGATATTGGTCTCGAAAACCTCGCTGGCTTACAAACTGTCGGTTAATATTAAGGCAGACTTTAAGACACTTAAATGCTGTTGGTAAAAATTATGACAGCTATCTGCTGCTTCGATTGGGCTAAATTTAGTGTCTTCTGCTCCATTTAGATGTGAGATCCCAAATCCGTCACCCAACATCATCAGCTTGGGTCAGCGCATGCTCCAGGAACCGTTCTGGCTCGGCCTCATCACTGTGTTTGTGGTGCTGGGTATGATCGGCCTGGTCTGGTGCGCCAAGCGACACTTCCCCGAGAAGATCGAGAAGCTGTTGGCCGAGGAGGCTGACCGATGCGCTAGACGTAAGTACCACACCCACTCTCATGGAGGACAAATCTTTAGGCCCAATATTTGACCCAAAAATATAATGTAAAAGAACCTTTTTCCGCACACTTTCAATATACGTTCAGTTCGGCTTGCCACTCTCACAGTTTAATATACACGGTAACTTAGTTTAACCGTCCGAAGAGAGTATATTTGTGACTCACAGTACAATAACGCTTTGTTTCAACATTTTGTCAGATTGTTTCCGCTATACTCATGTATTTTCTCAATAACCGCACTGTCTCTGGGATGGTAAGGACACGTTTTGCGTAATTTTTACTTTTCTTTGACTATCCTCTTTTCTATGTTTGATTGTTGCGGTTCCAGAAACTGAATGTCATAGATTGTATATATTTGCTGCAATGGTGCATGTATTGATTAGTTGAGTGTCCAGATAGCTGCATTCCTCGGGTTTCTGGAGTCCGTTATATCACGGTTCTTTTAACTTGATCCTCGCACTGCAAACAGTAAGTAACGTCTGTCTGTTTAGTTGTTTTATGTATAGTCCTGGAACAGCCACACAGCGGATCGGAAAGTTAAAATAATCGTGTCAATAGTTATGTCGAAAAGGATTGCCAGAAATTGTAAAGTTACCGGATAATAATATGTAATCAATCGGCTTTAAAGAAATATAATTGAGATATGACGTTAAATCCCAGCGAGACAATGTGACGTGTAACCATGATGTACAGTAGTGGACTCGCACTGACAGGACTGACGTAGACATAACGTTCACGCTCATCAAAATTGTATTACCCGTGTGTGCGTATCTGGCAATCCTATGTGTGTGGGGCTAGCGCGGGCGCCCGCGGGCGGCGCGCGGGGGCGCGGCGCGGGCGGCGCTACGCGGCCGTGCCCACGCGGGAGCCGTAGCGGAGGGGGCGGGGGCGCGGCGGGGGCGCCGGTGCAGCGGGCAGTGACGTGCTATTGTCCACAGCGGGCGTGCTGCAGGACGCGGCGCCGCACCGCACGCTGCTGACGCGGCTGGGTATCCGCAAGCCGTCGGTGTCGGGGCTCGCGCCACACCCGCGAGCCGCGCGCACCTTTAGCTTGGACGATCTGTTAAAGCCGCCGCCCGGACGTAAGGACTGGAGCGATGTCTTCCTAGGATCCGCGACCCGCGCGCTCCGCACTGCCATTGCATACTCCCATCGATCATGTAGACTGCGACTGCATTCGATTGTAACGGTTGATATCTCTGTGTTACTCGAGACTGTTAGCGATGTTACGAGACTGTTCTTCCTGATATGTTACATGTTTTGTTTGAATTGAATGATGACATATCTGTTAGCTGTGATGTACTAGAGTAGAGACAGACTGTATGCATTCTTAAATAAATGGATCACAAATTCATGAAAACTAATGCTTAAAGCCTTTTGTCTCAATCTGTGACCACTCGACTTGCCTGATCATACTTCATGCTGCCTTTACTGAGAGTCACAAAACGTCAATACTTACACGAAACGGATACAGTTCCTAATTGTTAGCTACCAGACACAGGGCTTTATCAACACTTGTTGTCGAACTTCATTTCGAATATCATGTTGTGTCGCAAACATTCCAAACACTACATTCTGCGGAGCGCGCGGCGGCCGGTACGGTTAGCACTGGATGTGTCCCTGCTGTGAATGAAATTTCTATGTGGAATGCAAAGACCAATGTAACATGGCCTGCTACCCTCGTTCTTACTTCTTTCGATGTCGATGTGTGCACCCCTGACAGCACAAACACAGCATCTCTATTGTAGCCGCTCCTTCCTTCGTTGACACCTTTTTAGATCGTCCAACTAACTTGGCCTCTGTTTTGTCAATAACATTGATTACTTCCTTCTTAGTTATACCGATAGATTTACATCAAATAGGTTTTTGATCAATTTCATCAGTTTTATTGACAATCCAAAGGCCTTTCTTTTTCTATGTGAATGTGCTAGCATGCTCTTTTACTCAGACAGTGTTTTGCCTCCTACAAATACTTACTAACATCATAATAAATGATAAAACACAACTAAAGAACAACTGGAGCCACTTGGTATATTTAACTGAACTATTTTGAAATGATTAGCTAGGTAAAACATTGTCTATCTACCTCGTATTGTATAGCTATTGTAACGACTGTTGTTATATTCCTGTTTGTGGCTTTGTATGTCGCTTTCTCTGTTCCAATAACTATACAACGTGACAGATCAACATCTCCATACTCATCAAATTGTCATGAACACAACACAAGACACTCAATTCTAATACAAAATATTGGCACTTCCTAAATTTTTTGATTATTGGCACTACCCTAAAGAATTGGCTTCCTTAGTGTGCACTGAGATCTAAGGCATGATGATGATCTCTCAGACTAACTGTTGTTGTTCAATCCCCAGTATTAAATTTATAACTATTGTGTTGCTTCTGTCATGAACATTCGATGTCGTCGCTTGTCATGAAACTTCGGTCACCCAATAATTTGGTTTAAGTGATTCTTTTGATACAGGAACACCGTCACCTCGTAAAAAACGTAACAATTCCACTCCAACTAAGAAAAACGCTGCTGAGAAAAAACAAATTTTGCAACAACTGATAAGCCCTGCAACAACTAATGACCATTCAAAGAAGATAACGATGGGAGATCTGATACAGATGTCTGAGAAGCGGACGCTGAGTACAGTAGAAAGTGCACCCGCATTCATGGACTATGGAAATGAAAACAAAGAGACTTCGTTTGCAAGTGAAGCTTCTACGCCGTCGACGTCGCCTTCCATGCGGCACATTTCAGACCCTAAACTGGAAAAGAAAGTGACGTTTGCAAGACTACTGAACAAAGTATCCGCTGAAATGAGCTCTAGTTCCGACGTAGACATGGTGAACACTATCACCATTCCTATGGCGGTAATATCAGACAGAGGAATGAAAGCAAAAGCGTCGAGTACACCGCCCTCGCCGGGAGTCGAAGTACGATCCCCTCACAGTACATCCAGCAACCAGGGAAGTGACTCGATGTCGAGCTTGGACTTGACGTTGACGCACACTGCATTGAAGAAATATTCGAGGTCGGTTCCAATTATTTATATTATTATTATTAACATAATTAACATATATAATTACAAAAGACAAGGTAAATGTTAAATAAAATTAAATATTGATATTTTCTTCAGACAGCCAAAAATCTCAAGCGCTGACTCCATACTGGCGATGTTCCGGAATTTCTCATCCTCGTCAGCAGCAATAGTGTCGCGAGCGTCGTCAGGAGGAGTGTCCGTGTCCAGTACACCGTCAGCTTCATCACCTCAGGATGATACAGTGGACGCGGACGACATATCCATAGCATCCTCACATATACCCTCACTGGCGCCAGACTCGCCTGTCACCAGGCCACATAACACTATTGAGATCCAGGTCAATATTAAAATAATCTTTTATTATGTTAGAATGAATCGTGAGGTGTTTTATTAGCAATGTTTCTTTAAATGTTTATCCTAGTTATGTAGGAGAGCATGCATCATTCATCTTACTCCGCGGTGCTACTTTCAAGATTAGATTCATTATCCCGACCATCATGATGGACCTTTGTTCTATACATTTGCAGGTTCTGGACCCTCTAAGTGCACACAAATCTTCATCATCAGGTAGCAACCTACTTCATCCACCGTCCATACTCCTAGAAGTACCGAGTGGGATCAACAAATGCTTGTCCCCGATACGAGAGCTCCCTACACCACTACCTACCCCCCTCCCGACACCCCTACCCACCCCTCTACCGTCCCCTAGACTGCCACGAGCTAGTATTGAAATGGATGTTAAGAGCGAGTCTACAGCAACTGTCATGTCACCCAGTGAAGATGAGCTCGATGAAATTAAGTGCGAAACGAAGAGTGACAGACCAACTTCTGGTTTGCGATTGAAGGTCGGTCGAGTTCTCGTTCACTTTGAACGATTATTTTTATATATCTGGTACATAATTATGATGAATATTTGCAGCTACGACCAAATTTGCTGAGCACGGACACAGCCACTACGACGCCGACACCATCGACACATGTGACGTCATCAGCCAGCCCGAGTTTGACCCACAGCCCTGCGTCGCCCCCTGGCGTGATGCCGGGCGTGCTGCCAGGCGTGCTGGGCGGTGGTGTGCCGGCGCTGCGCGTGCCAGTGCTCCAAGTGCAGCGCGCGTCCCCCGGGTCGCCACCGCCCCGTCGTACGCCCCCGCACTTAGAGTTCCAGCCACCGCCCCTCATTACCGTCACCTACAATGCTAGCGAGGAGTCCGATGAGCCAATGTCCCCTAGACCACCCCCACCCTCTGGCAATATGTGCTACCTCAGTCCCTTCTCGATGTCCGCGAGAGGAGAGCGAGCTCCTTCAGAATCAAACCTATCCTCGTCAGGGTACAGCTCTATGGCGAGCCCTGGACCCTCGAGGTGTGGTTCTAGCAATCCCCTATGTCCTTCAGAAATGGAAGACCCTGGGTCTGGTGGTGGGCCATCCTGTTTTCAGTCCAGGAGACGACCGCTCATGAAAACTAACTCCAGCCCTGCAGCTTCTAATGATGACAGTAAGGAACGTAGGCGAGGACGATCTGACTCCGAGACATTATCCGACGACCCCCTATTAGAGTCCAATGACGAGGGCATAGGTACAGACGAGAGAGTAGACGATGTACCCACCAGCGCGAAAGAGATGGAACTAGTCGCATTAAAAGAGACTTTAGAGATTCCACAAGCCACCCTGTGCTCCCCTAGTGGAGTGACCAAGTGTTCAATAGTCAAATGTGTTAGTGTTGAGAGAGGATTAGACGAGAAGGCTAGTTTGAGGCCTCCCACTTTAATAACTGAGGGTAGTAGGCCCTTGAGCCCAGTCAGTTCCAGGAGCGAGAGCCCGTTAAGTGACAAAACTGGTTTGGGAAGGTTTTCTCCACAATTTTACGGTAGACAACTACCGTTTACAGATTCTGACGGGTTGTACGACTTTCCGAGTTCGGAATGTGTGAAAGGTGCCAACAACAAGTTAGGCAGTAACTGTCAGAAGAAGAGTGGCAGGAAGCGCGACCGCAGGAACACGCGCACCGCCTCGCATGACGTCACAGGCAACAACAAGCCCACGCTGCCACACATGCCGCACTCCATGCACAACCTGTTGGAGGTCAGTCCGACTACCGCATACATTTGTCACTCAACAGCTATGACACTCGCGGAATTTATACTAGACCATACTTACAATTCTAACTACTATAACAATATAAAACAGGTTCCGGGCAGTCGTGACGGCGCGACCCGTGGTCGCAAGGGTGGCAGGCGTCGGTCCCGGTCCCAGGCGCCGGCACCAGCGTCGTCATCATCGTCTGAAGACTCAGTGTCCAATGCCAGCGTAGCGTCAGTGGCCTCTGCCAGGGAACTGAGGTTACCTGATATGGACATGCAGGTATGAAGCGTCTGCTCTGATGGAAGACTTGCTTAGAATCAGTGTAGTAAGATTCAATTTGCTTAAAAGAAAAGAATAGGTACTATTTTTTACATAAGACAATTGGAAAAATATTGTGTCGCAGGCACTTTTCGAAACCTCATGTTTTCCAAAATGTCTAATTTCATCCAAGGAATGAAATCGTTTTTATTTTGATTAAAATCATATTTTCTTGAATTCTACTACACGCAATATTTATTGTTAGGTTTTTTATGTGTGGTTTGCAATATTAATATTAATCGCACCAAGGTGTTGTAACTCTGTAGACTAACCCACCACCTAAATGTTCTTCTTAAATCTGTGTTATACCTAAATACCTACTGCACATGAATTAAATAAAGCACTCAACTAAATAACTAAACAAAATGCATAAACTGATCCCATACAATACCTTCTATCTTATGCACCTTCTTTACAATTTATTATAATCCTACGTACTTACACCGAATTTCTATAATTTCTCAATGTTTTGATAATTTTAGCTTTTTATAATTATTTGACGGTAGGTTGTAGATGTGTGTTGGATTATTTTCAGCCTTGTGAGCCGACGCGTTTGAGGAAACCGCTCAGGAGACAAAAATGCCGTAGTTCCGAGGTGATTTGTTAAGGCAGCAACTACCTAACTTGTTCATTTTGTAGTACAGGGCTACAGTCGCCAAATATTTATGTTCCTTTTGGAGATTCCATGCAGTTTTCAATGTTATTTGCAGATCGCCTTCTTTATATTTTTGTCAGTTTCTACCGTGTGTCTGATTACTTTATTTATCTATGTGTTGGTGTAATCCTGTACAGAAGAATGCATTCAAAAATAAGATTGTTGTTGTTGTTTTAAACATTTTATACCTATACATATAGGTCTCACCATTCAAATGTAGTCGACTAGTACATATCTATCAGAATGTGTAGATACACTCATGCAACCTCCTCATTGTTACAAATAACATAGAAGCATGGTATTTATGTAATTTTAGTAGTTTTTAAAAATGTACTTAGTGCATGCGCATTTTTTTTATAAATATTTTAAATATTTCAGGACACGTCGTCTAAAATATCTTCGAGTTTGGATCTAACGGAGGATTCCAGAAAACCACCAAAAGTCAACAAATTGCGGACGATAAGCAATCAGATAAGGTGCGTATTAATATTATGTATATCTTCTCTGCTGAAGGGAACTCTCTTTTTACTATTCATCTCTCAGTACGCTGAGTATGATAAAACGTCAGTACAAGATCTTTCTGTTTTTGTTAATCAAATAGGTCATTCCAGATTTCTCCGACGGCTAGAGCGCAGCTTGAAAATGAAAGAAAGTTACCCAGCTCTTTCCGACGACGAAGGAGACGAGTCATCGAGCGTCACTTCACCCCTACTTCAAGGTCGGAAGGACTTAGGCCGACTTCCCAGCCACGCGATATCAGCTCCTCTACTTAGTGCAGTTAGACCCAAAATTACTAGACAAAGACGTTACGATAGGTCGTTAGTAAGTGAAGACACAAGGACTTTAAATACTGCCGCAGGTCAAGACAATTCTGACTGAAATTAAACTATTTGTGTTGAATAGTGCTATTTCATTTGACTTACAGTAACACGGTTTTGTAGGTACATACGTATGTATTTCTAAATGATTTTTTTGGAAAAAACGATAGTCGCTATGGTAACTGTTAAAATTCGTCGACCTTTTGGACATTACGAATTATCTCCATGTTCACGAAATATCAAATCGACATGAGTATACAAGATTCTAATCTAATGTGATATATTAAACTAAGCGACACAAATACTAGAACGTTATTGATTTGAAGTAGATTTAATATTTAGGAGATTGAACGTTTTAATTTCCTTCAGTTCACTTTTGATGTCTCAAAGTACTCGTAATTTAGCTTCATGTTGTACATAATTTTCTCGATAGCAATAACTTATTTGTACAAGATTTTGTAGGAAGAAATATTTTACTATAAGTAATCGTAGTGACGTACTGTAATGTAGGACACAAGTCATCGCTATCATTTCTACTCCTTACCTTAAACTAAATAGTTGTTTTAACATATAGTATGTTTTATAAAAGATTACTTTCGCTTTATTTGTAGTTTCTGTTAATAATATACTACGTATAAAATGCTTTTTGTAAATATATTAAACGTATTGCTCAAATGCATATTTTGTGAAATCGTTTTTTGCGCACTTTTTGCTGTTTTGTAAATATAATACGTATATAACTTATTTATTGTTGTAAATATCGGATTCGAGAGAAATCTTTTCATTTTTCTTGACAAAAAATTACATGTAAAATGTTCTAGATCGTAAGTAAAAAACAAAATGAAAGGCCCAAAAAAATCTGTATACCAATTGCACAATTACTACTTATATACAATTATATATATGAATATAAGCACTCATAATACGTTAAGCTATGTATTGATACCTTGAAGTAAGTATGTACTCGACGCACCAATAGAATAGTTTGTTCCATGTATGTCTAACAATGCCACACTCTCAACTCCGTAGACTCCCTTCATAGTCCTATTGAATAGTTCCCTATTCTGTTGTTAATGCATATTTATTTTAAGTCACTCTAGAAATTACCTATAATCAATAGATACCTAGTTTAGTTAGCTTTAACATAATATAAAAGCTAAAAAAACGTTCCATATAGGATATAGATATGTATTAACTTTTTATTGGATTAGTTTGTCCTGGGCATAATGAAACATTTTTATTATTATCATTTGTGTCTTCTATCTTTTCCACACGCGTTTAATGTTCGATGTTTTGTTTTGTCTCGTTAATTTAACACTAGATTAGTGAACTACTTTAGATGCTTAGATACAGTTTCAGCAATAATTTTATGTGATTCGACTGTATAAAGACTGACATTGTTTGTGCACTAACAAAACTTAAACATCTGTGTTATGTTTCAATGTGTATCGTAATAAGCGTGTATTTAATATATACAGTTATCTTTTATACCTATGTAAGTCACTGTCTACGTGTTCGGTGTTTATATTTTTGTTTTAATGTTATTTCGTAAGAAAATACCTAGAAGCGAGACATAATTCTAAATGTCTTATTTCGTATAACTAACTGCAACATCAGTTTCATAAATTAAGTGGCCATTTACAAAAAGCATATTTGATCAAAGTAATTCAGTCGATAATTAATTAGTGAATCATTTATGCGTCCTTTGTATAATATTTATAAAGTTAGCCTTTTGAACGACATTTACCTACTCTCCTACCTTAGCATTTATAAATAAATACCTTTTCACTGTTATAGATGACGTTAATTTGAATTTAGAACCATAGAATGTATTAAAAGATACCATAACAGATTTATTTATATCCATAAACGTTCAAAAGGTTCGATCAGTAGAACATTGTCCCGCCCTTACTGTATTCAAAGCCTAGAACGCGTCTAATGTAAAATAGTATAACTAAAAATTATGAAAAACAATGGCCTGTTCATTGAGACTGATTTTCTAAAAACTTAACTCTTAAAACGTCGCTTATTCGTTTCTCGCTCGATCGATGTGTGTATGTGTTTTCTTTACTCTGTCTATAGTTTTATTACTTGAGATCCTGGGATCTTACGAGATCTACGTTTCCGTGCCTTCGAGTCTGTGGAAATTATGTAGATATGGACATTTGGCCGACTTAGTTAGTACTTGGTAGTCTACGTCTGCAGTTCATCTAATTGTTAAGAAGTCTCCGCGGCCAGTAGTTCGCTATTAGACTTTCACTAAAACATTCCAATATTTCATAAATTAAATCCAATGTTTTTATAAAATGGTAACTTTATTTCTTTTTCTCAAGAGGATTGTAATAAGTTGATAATAAATAGGATTTTTGGAACGTCTGACCAACAGGCAAAAGTACGCAATGAAATAATAAACTACTTATTACGACTTTACGTTAATTTTAAATTATAAAATTTTAAACTTAAAAAGATTTGCCTGTTGATTATTTCAACTACATGATAGTACCTAAATATTATTAATATTTAATCAACATAGAAGAACAAAATTAGTATCATCGTGAGAGCACCCAATTATTATAAGCAATACGTTACTATATAAAATTAGAATATAAAATAATTGTATAATAAAGTTCTGTGATTGAAAGCGTGCAGCTCAAGTGCGGTTTAGATGTCGTCATATGGCATTAAAATATTTATTTAAAATATTATCGTTATAAAACCACTTTCTTAAAAATTTAAATCGACAAATTCCATTCATCCAAAAGTATTAAATAAGGCAGAACAGACATTTTGCAGATTTATAGATTTTTTGATTTGACTGCAACATAACACGCGGTATTGCGGTTTGAGTTTCTCCGAATTCTCTGAATAACATTTTTGAAATTTTGTAATAGTGTCTTATGAGTACTACGAAGTGATAATTCGTCAAGGGCACTGAATACTTTACTGAGGTGATTTCTGTGGACGAGATCAATAGCGTAACTCTCACAGAAATACTTGTGCAGCAGGGCTCACAAGGCTAATATTAACATCTATTAATCGTCGTACCTATATATATCGTGAAATTAAACCAATGACGCCTCTGTCGCTTTAGGACAAAAAGAAATATCCAATAATAGTTTTTAAATACTTGTGCAACTAACTTTAAATTCTCGTTTAAAACAATGACGGCAACTTGGTTTAACTTAAAACCATAGTTTAAATGTGTCTTGTTTAGTAATTAAATTCCTTATGACTTAACTAACTTAATTGTATTGTTCTCAAATGATTGAAGTGTTTGTAGCACTAAGCGAGTAATGTAAATATGTTTACACCGTACGCGTAACATAAGGTGTATATTCAATATAATAACGTTTTATTCACAATGTAAAATATAAAGGTAAATAAAATTTTGCTTGTTACATCGGTGTATTTATTTAATGTCCCGCTTTATTTTATTTCATATCTAACTACCTTCTGCTCACGACTTCGTACGCGCAATCCCGTTTTCTCCCGTTCACGTATGATTTTCAGTATTTATTTCTGTCATAAGAACCTTCTCCTGACAATAACAAACACAACAAAATTCAGTCAAATCGGTCTAGCCATTCTCAAGTTATGGCGTGACAACGGGAAACGGGTTTCACTAGCGGACCCGACAGACGTTGTAATGCATATTATTATGATATTTCAAGATATTAAGGTTTAAATAACCTAGATATCGACTGCAACGCCATCTGCGGGCTGATTTGTGAATCTAAACCATTCAGGGCGCCACTTAAACGCATACAGAAAAATTCATTTAAATCGGTCAAGTCGTTTAGGAGGAGTTCAATGACATACACACGTACAGCAGACATATATATAAAGATATATAAAATAAATGTGTCTAGTAAATTTTATGGTGCAAATTGAAAATAAACTAGGTTTTAGGTGCGGCTCGTCCAACCATTGGATTGTACCGGTACGTGGTGGAAAAACGTAACGAACGTGACTGGACAAAAGTTCTCTTGTTTACACTGTAATTTGTCCTGATGGAATGGGTGTATGTTTGTTGAAATACAATACTGAGAATTTCCGAAATTTCCTTCTTTGGCAGTCGGGTAATAAAAGAACGTGTTCTTTAGCAATCATAATAATTTATTTATCGTACAAATATATACAAAGATTACAAACTTAAAAAACAAAATCTACATTACAGTAATGTAGTTCGTAGTACGTAGATGTTAATCTGTGGCCTTAGTACGAGTTTGTTTTACGTTTAAAGTAATCGTAACGAGTACGCGTTCGGCGCTCTGATTGGTTGGTTCATTGGCGCCGGCCAATCAGAGCGCCGAACGCGTACTCGTTACGAATACTTTAAACGTAAATGAAACTCGTACTAAGGCCTCAGTATGAGTTGTGTATTTACAAGAAACGTGAACTTTTTATATTTAAATATACTTATCAAAAACTATAGTATTATTGCTAGCTGTTTGTTTATATTTCGGCTCATAATTTGACCTTCAATAACTAACTTAATTAAAAATGCACGATTGGCGCACTGGTTGGACAACTGGCTGCTGTGCAACGCGTCGCGGGTTCGATTCCCGAACGGAACAACTCTGTGTGGTCCACAGATGTTCCGCGTCTGGGTGACAGAACGACACAGAAAAAAATCCTAGTGTAGGGCAACGTTTTAAAATAAAAAAAAAACATTAATAATTATTTAGTTAGTTTACACTGAATCCTACGTCAAGATTACGGAAAAATCGGTTTCTTGTACATATTATGACGCCCATCTAATTTTTCCATCAAATTTTAGGTTTAAATACCTGAATATTCAATTTTACCAAACCTTACCGTTGGTAGGGTGCACCTACTTGGAACCACTAAATCAACAGACAAATTATGAGCCGAACTATAAAACACAAGTTCATTACACAGATACATAATTTAGTGTCCAAGTATGATCTGGCTAGTCTTCTCAATCCAGATTGATTTAGCAACCTTACAACTAGCAATCGACTAAAACATGTATACTAATTGTTCCGAACATCACCATTCATTAATTATTGATATCACACAATTTGTACAATACTTATATTAACCAAAAATATATTAAATTGATTTTAACATACTAATGCCCGAATACTGAAACGTTACTCAATTTTAAGTCGTGCTTAAATATCGTGCCATCTCTGTCATATCACAAAGAATTTCTAGAGACAGAACTATACTTAAGCACGACTTAAAATTGAGTAGCGTTTCAGTATTCCGGCATAAGCTACGTATGTCTGTAAAGGTCAATTCCGTACTACGTGGGCTGAAAAAACAAAAATAGATAATACATACTTATTTTTGTATCTTTCTCACGTAAATATAAGTTGCATAGGGCGATCAGCTCACGGCCGAAAATGAGTTAAAGGCCGTCGTTGACAGTATCAACGACGCGTTATTGGACAAATGCAGGCATTCGTCAAACGACAATAGGCGGTCTACAAACGACAAACGCTGGAAAAACTGTCCACGAAAGCGCAGTTAAACCCGCCTGTCGTCATTTGACGCATGCACACAGTACACAGCTTACAGCTCACTCATCGAATCACTTTTTTGTTCACATAATTTTCCTAATTTATTATTGCCACTCAAAACCAAGCCTTATTGAAAACAAATTCTCAAATTTATTTTAGAGAAAACATACATTTATTAGTAAATCATAATAAGTCACACACAGTAATGTCTTACTTTATTCACACAATCTTATTATGTTCATAGACTAGATTTTATACAAAGCTAATATGTACATTTTGTTACTAACTTACATATAAATTGTACAAAATATTTTTTAATGCATAAACTTGATATACATTGGTGACAAACTGGTTAGTTCGATTTAGAATACGTGTATGGTCAAATATCATACGTTTTACACATTTCGTACTAGGTATGTGTACAATGTATGTACATGGTATGTACTTGAAACTGTTTGTAGTATTGTATTGCTCCAATTTCTTATGATTTTAAAAAACTGATAGGTGATTAGTTTGTTTTTAAAAATGTACATATTTCTTTCATTTTCTTCGTTTCTGTTTCAATAACTAAGGTACACTCGTGCAAGGAATTAATAGCTAAAGTCGTACAACTATTCAAATAATCAATTTCACTCATAAATATTGCTCGATAATTACGTAGGTACCTATTAAAAAAAACCGCGATAATCGAAAACACAGCCAAAACTAGTTATAATCACAAAACGTTGTTAGAACATGCCGTCGTGGATGCCGATGGGCACGAGCACGGCGAGGAAGATGGCGACGTTCCTGAGCACGAGCCTCCAGTCGTCGGGCACGGCGTGCGGCGCCACCAGCGCCGTGAGGCGCCGCACCTCGTGCGCCGCGCACAGGAACACGAAGGCGGCCAGCAGCACGCTCAGCCGCGGCGCCCCGGGCAGCAGCAGCAGCACGCCGGCGCGGTCGGCCGCGCCCAGCGCGTGGCCGCCGCCCGCCGCCAGCTCCAGCGCCACGCGGCCCACCCACGCGAACAGCGCCGAGTGGCGCCGCCGCAGCCCCGCGCGCGCGTTGCGCAGCCACACGTAGCTCGCCACCGGCAGGAACGACACGTACGAGTGGATCTCGTTGCAGTCGAACGAGTTGCTGCACAAGAACGCGAACGTCACGTACGACCCCAGCCCCACCGCCGCCAGCAGCGTGGCCGTCAGCGACGCCCCGGTGCCCCACAGGTTCCCCAGGCGCTCGTCCAGGACGCCGGCGGAGCGCGCCGCTAAGTACGCCAGCGCAAACATTATGCCGTACGCCATCGAGTACCTGAAAACCATCAAATATGTAATTAAATCACTATCATATCATCTGTCAATTATATTCAAATATCTATATCTATAAATACGAAGATACCCAACTAAGTAAATCGCAAAAATACTAACCTACCCTCCTTCACATTTCATCGAATATTCATCAAAAATTGAAAATTTTTCCCACAAAAAGATGTTTTTTTTAGTTGTATACTTAAGAAATAGTAGATATATTTTTCAGTACTTTATCACGTAGGATTATCTCACTGACATAACTTATTCATGTGTGAACACCACTTAATTTTCGCCCCCTCATAATAACTGCTCGATTACAGCCATAACCCATAAAAAAGAACCTTCAATTTAATACAATAACTACTCACCGATCCTGTTTCCACAGCAGCCACCACTGATGGATGTCATCATCAGAGTTAACAAACAGTGCCTTCCAGGGCCTGGTGACGAATATCTTCTGGAAGAACACCTCGCTCATGTAGAGTACGGTCACTATGACCAGTAGACCTATCACCTTGATGGCAATGTACAGGTACTGGTAGGGACGCGACTCCACCGTGTGACTCGATGACGGCGTTATATGAGGTGGGAGCGCGAAGATTACAAACATCTGAGAAACAAATGAATTTATTTTAATAAGAAAACTTGCGCAAAGTTTATACAAATTGTGTAAAGTTTGCGAAAGTAGTGCAAATTTTGCGCAAGTGGTGCAAATTTTGCGCAAGTGGTGCAAAGTTTGTGTAAGTTTAAAACTTTGTGCAGTAGTATTTTCCGCTGTGTCGTGAGTGCATTTACACAAAAAAAAAAACAATTAAAGAAAATACAAAAAAAAACTCACCAGCGTATACCAGAACGACACGAGCGGTACAAAACTATAGAACTGGTAGGGTCTGTTCATGGTCAGACATAGCACTACAGTCAGAAAGTTCAGTCGGAATATGACCCTGAAGTATCTGACCAGACCGGTGTCTCCGGTCTTCCATGTATAGTAGAAATGTCCGTACCCTGTCAGGAACAGGTAGGCGGAGGCCAGGGTACGGACCATCATGTATATAGGGAGCACTTTACTAGCCCCCGTCACTTGGTACACAAGGATCACTAGCTGCATCCAACCTTTCCATTCGTCTGTCTGTTCTCGGTGAAGGACACTAAAAAAAAGTAAAAAAATAATAATAATAAAATAGTTCTTCTTCCTTGTTTAGTAACAGGGTATTTGAAGTAGAAACTAGATGGTGATGGTGGCTTCGATATTCCGGTACAATAACCTAAATGAATAATTAGAAAAGATAAGACACACTTACGTATTAGACTTGGAGTCCTCAGTAAAGAACAATCCCAACGCGAACACATAACCGACAGGCAACCAGAAACTCCATTCAGAATAATATTTATTTTCCTTCATAAAGAAGTTGGTTCTGTCACACAAGTAAAAATAACACATGATGAGGCCGAGCCGAGCCATTGCGGCGAGGGGAGAGGGATCAGACCCCGCGGCGCCGGGGGCAGGTACGGGCGCAGCCTGGCTGACGGGGGCGTAGCCCTGCAGGTGAGACCGTGCCCTCTCATACGCTCCCCAAGCGTAACGGACAACCCAGAGTACTCCGCTGCAAATTAAATTATAAGATCAATTTAGACAATTCCAAATTACATAAATGTCTAATCAGAGTAATTCTATGAACAAGTATAAGATTATAGATTTTGTATTGAATTCGAACTCAAAAAAGACTTCGAATTACATATCTATCCTTTTTGTTCTTTTTCTGTTTTTTCAGTTCAGGTAATTTACGTAATAAGTTACTGGATAAGGTTAAGTAGAAAAGCTATTGTTTTCGTTGAGACTTTACGAAAAAAATCAAGCGAAAAAGGAACAAAGTAAAGACTCACCATAATAAGAATATAGCGAAGGTAAGAAGCTGTAGCTGAGTATGCGGCTCGGGCTGGGCGCAGCAGGAGCCGTCGTTGTAGTTCATGTGGTCGTTGCAGAACATGTTCAGCAACAACTGCGCGCAGTGCCGCAGCGCCGCGCCGCTCAGCTCCACGCCGCCCTCCGCAGACACCAGCAGGGCCGACTTCCAGATCTTGGCTGCGCTGTGGGTCAGGATCTGATCACACAGACAAATAAACAACTAATTCATGTGACTGTAAAGTTTTTGTGTTTCTTATGTGTGACGCCATAGCAAAAACAAAATTTCAATCAATTATAATCAAAATTACTTTTATACACATTCACAGACGAAACTACACAATTAAATTATTCAGTAGCGCAAACTACTCATACTTGCGCAAACAACAATTTCAGTTGCGCAACATAAAAGCTATGAACTGATCACTCACCTCTACAGCAGCTCTGTTGTACGAATCAATATCATTGTTATTGATCCTTTTATAATCATCCTTCAATTTGTTCACGTCCACTCCCTCAATCAACTTCCATAGAACCTGTGTGTTTCGTGCTGCAAGCGAATCTATAGCTTGCACCAAGCGCGTAAGGTTCCTTTTGTATTCTTCTAGTACTAGATCTGTTGTATTTCGAGTTTTGAGCAGTTGTAAGCCAGTAGACGCTATGATCACGGAGGGTGGTTGGTCTGAACGCTGCCTGTTTGCATTTGAAGTTTAAGTATAGGACAATAAGATTTATAATTATGCAAATATTACAACTTTGATATTAAATTAAGAACTAGATTTCACCATATCACCGGATTCACAAACATGAACTCCGGTCGAGTTCTTCTACATAATATAATGAAATAAATAGCATGAACATTGATCTCACTGAATACCCACTTATCTTTAAAAGCTTCAAAAACTCACAATATCTAGCAAATGCTCACCATGTGCGGAACTGGTCGACCATGGTCTTGGAGACATCGTCGCTGTACACGAAGGTGACGGACAACCGCAGCTTGTTGTCCACGTACGTATAGTTCGGCATGCGATGCTCTACTGTCGAGTATGACGAGTCGAGGTCCAGTCGAGTCCGGACCACGCCTGAAAATAAATACGAGTGGTTAATGAAAACACGTTACAACCAAATTGTAAGTCTCGTTTAATTACATTAAACTGTCAAACACCAAGCGGTCACCGGTGACCGCAACCTATTGTTCTATAATTCTCTCTACAAAACCGGTACTCGACGAGTTAAATTATTTATATTTTACGGCTTACTCATTTAACTGTTTTAAAAAGTAGCTCAACTACTTTCAAACCACATTGGGAGCTCATACTAATGAATATTGCGCTACAAACGACGGTTTTATTATGACAAGAGATTAAGTAATTAATGAAAACACATTCATAATAAACTTACTTATAAAATATTCGTAGAGCTGTTCGAGCCGGGAGTCGCCAATGAACGCGAAACTGTTGTACTTGCCCCAGAACGCAAGGTACCGGAAACATCGCCTCGCGTCACTGTAACATTGTAAATAAGACATGTTAAATATAAACGACAACTAAATATCAACTTTCGTATGTAGTTCATAAACTCTAAAACTACAATATTTATTTAATTTATTAACTAAAAATCGCGGGTTACTCACGTGAATACACCGAAAAAAGCTCTACTAGTTTCGAAAATAGAGGGGTTCTTCCTTATAAGTGCGCGGTCGCGGCTATGATTGAGTAGGCTGCGCGACATCGTGAGTAACGCGCGATTTTTAGTTAATTTAGTATGTAAAGTGTCGACACACTGTAAACACATGGACACATGTAAACTGTCGCGGGTCGCGAAATGCTGCTCATGAATATGAGCCTCTAGCATGGCTTGAAACTAGTCGAGTTCCTCGTCGAATTACTACGTGAGTAAGCCGAAAACATAATAATTTATTTAGTATGTCTCACGATAGTTGTTATAAAAATATTTATTTATTTGTAAACATACGCCCATGCACTAAAAGGCAATTTTAAGCTGTACTGAAATATCGTGAGAAATCACTTGATGATTTTCCCCCTTAAAAAAAAAATCTGTCATTTTACAAAGAATTTATATTATATATACTTAAAATGAGTGGACTTTCAGTATTCGGGCGATAGTGGCTTTAATTGTACAGGTTGGTATTTTCTCCCAGTTACTCCCCCGTAATAGGGCGAGCTTATTACAAAGCTGGGGGTAAAATTACCAAATTCCATAATAAAATACGTGTTATTGAAGACATCACCATCGATAAAACTAGTAAAAACATTATTAGGTACGTATTCTTCCCGAAGGATTTCACTTATGTATACTAAATTGTCGGCTGCCGCGCTTATGACTTGAGCAACGCGATAGCTGTACAAATTATTCATTGTCAAAGTGGTCAAGGTCAAGGGCAATAGGAAATCGAAGGGAAACAATCAGCTATGGTGTTCATTGTTTCAGCTACTACAAACAACATACTTGTAGTTGAAGCTAAAGTACAACTGATTGCTACTAGACATTTTGTAGACCACGATAACAACCGATAACTGTAACGTTATTGTTTTCTTGTAGATTGTAGCATATTTTGTTTTATGTGTGTTTAGCCAGTCATAATTAATTGTAAAAAATCTCCCGTGGCATTACATGTGTGTAGATCGTAGAATTATTCCGTGCGGGAATTGAAACCGCGATACATGGATCATCAGCCACTTTTTTGACTACTTGGCATAAAAAGACACTTTCAGTATAGAGCTTGTTATCTTTTAACTAGTTAATTTTCAAAGATTGG